CATTTTTGTTAATTTCCTCTCCCAGCTTTCGGTCTTTAACTAAAGACGAAATCCAGTGACTTAAAAAAAATTTTCGCCCATACCATGAAATGGCTGTTGTTTTATGAACCTAAAAAATTAGAATAAACAGGAGGGGCAGAAAACAATATGGTTTGAGTAGTTAAGAGTATTTATCCATGCATGCGAGATTCTATGTAATGCTACACTTATCATATATTTATATCACCTCTCAGTAAAAGTAGGGCCCACAAACATACGTTGGTCTTATCTTTATTAGAAAAATAGTACAAATAATGACACAAATATGTGATAAGAGTAACATTTTTGTTAATTTCCTCTCCCAGCTTTCGGTCTTTAACTAAAGATGAAATTCAGTGACTTAAAAGAATTTTTCGCCCATACCATGAAATGGCTGTTGTTTTATGAACCTAAAAAATTAGAATAAACAGGAGGGGCAGAAGATAATATGGCATAAAAACAGAGGTACTTTGAAATACCTCATTTTGTTGAAAGGTTATGTATATATGCATGCATGTTTGCTTTCAATTTCACCTTCCTAACCATTACCAACCTTCGAACCCGGAACCTAGCGGAATAATGCTTGGCACCTATCCACAAGGTTAGGAAGAAGATCGGTACGTTTACATGTAAAAGAAATATATTTAGCACAGTTCCATCATTTGGGTTCAAAATTTCTACAAAATAAGACACAATGCTTGGAGTAGTTCAGCAAGAATAGTAATTTCATTTCATTTCATTTCAAATATTCCATTTGTTTTTTACTTATTCGATCTAGCTTTTCGAATAAGAGATTTTGAAATCCTTAATTTTTAGCAAAGGGTTTGTGTGGTAACAAGAATCTTCTATCTTCAGTCTTGACAAATTTGTACCTACAAAAAAAAATTAATATCTTTGATCAAAGACCAAAGCCTCACGCACCCCCGAGCTGGTGGGGGTGGAGGTGTGGGGAGGGGGGGGGGAGAGGTTGGCCAATAGTTCTTCGATGCCAAAGTCATAATCTCTGAAGAGAGTGAGTGTTTAGGGCTTATATGCGTAGCGAAAAGCTTATCGAAATTTGGTGGAGATTGAGGTATTTATAGGAGGAGGTGGCCGGTCATAGTGATAGGATTTTGCCCTATACGTGGTGGCATCCTATTAGCCAAGATTTGTGATCTGTAGGATGCGCGAGGAAATAATATTCCAAGATATTAATTAGGAGATAATATCTCAGGATAATGGTGGGAGTATTCTAATTGATTATGAGAAGCATTCCTTACTTGATGGAGTTGATTTTCAATTGAGATTGTATTAAAGATAGGATTTAGTAATTAATCCTATTTTTAATGCCTTTGCCTTTTCCATGCCACAAGCTGGGGAGCTTGGAGCAATCGTAGTTCGCTGCTTTAACTTCCAAGGATGTTGAGCTACGTATGAGAATATTTGTGTGACATGCCCATTTAATGAGGGAACTCTTGTCTTTTTTGCGAAAAAGTCTACGTGGCCTCCATGATTTTTGGGATTATTTTTTGCTCCACAACTTGTAATTTGAGTGAATAAATTTATCCATGCACACGAGATTTTGAGTTCGATTCCCTTTTACCCAAGTTTTGATTTTATCAAAAGTTATTTTTGCTTAAAGCCTAAAAAATAATCATTGCATTCTCTTCACTTGTAAACTAAAGGTCTTAAGTTCGAATATTGTAAATGGTGAGTTTGAATCGTATCACACATGCATAAAGACTGAAGACTAAAACGGTACATATTCCAGCTTACTCCGAAAGGCGTCGACTTTGGGTAACAATCCATCTTCAAGGGAAATAGGTTGCCTCTTAGATGGATAGTTAGGGGTAAGACCATGATTTTCCAGGCCAGAGTAAGGCTGATTTGAATACAGTTACCTCATAAGTTCGGTTATGGACTCACCAGCTTCAAGCGGAGTTGTATCAGACGGAGTAGCGGTGCCACATCACCTTGTTTTAGACCATTAGGCGGAATAACCATGCTTGTTCCGTAAGACACACGATCTGATCCGGATATGGACATAATCATATCCTATAAGTCTTGAAGTTCCTACAATCTAGGAATTGGTGTGCATTGCAAGTAATCACAACTCCTAAGAGGGTGCGATATCTACTTCTAGATATCTTCTAGGATTCTCTCGGCTTAGAACAAGGATACTATCCTAAAAAAGTCTCTCTCCCACGGTATAAATGCACCTATCTAGGGTTCATGTCTAGTAATGCAATCTAAACACTTGAATTATCTTGCCCACTGCTTGAGTCTAAAGTTGTTCACTAACTTGACTGTCGGATAGCCTTTGGCCGGCACACTCCTGGCCTTAGGCTTGCTCACGATTATTAACTGTTTGGCAGGCTGCTCGAGTTTGTGCACAACCATCACTCACGATGGTGCAAAAATTTTGTTCCAACAAAAGAGAAACGATGGTGATGGTAATGGAGAGGAGAGCATAAGTAATACAAGCAGAAGGAACCATGATCAAGAGGATGAACTAAGGATATTGCAGGTTCACCCTACAAGCAAAGAAGAAAGCCCTCTTTTGCGAACCCAATGAATGGTAAACTTAGCGGAAAAAATCAAGATACAAAGAAAAGATGAAGAGATTTTAAGGTGTGCAAGAAAGACGACGCTGGTCTGATTAGTCTAAGAAGAGTAGTGGCACCTGAAGCCCAAAATGTTGTCCTCAAAGATTACGAGGAAATGATTCGGGGAGGGGGTGCAATACAAGTCTCGTGAGAAAAAGAATTGGAGATTGATTTGAATGTAACATTGCAATTGATGGAGGAATCGAAGAGCAACGAGCAGAACAGTCATAGTAAACATTTCCATAAGAAAGAATTAAAAAATCAAGAGAATTTCTACTGTAAGATAATTTTCCATTGACATGTCAAATATGTTGCAATATACAATGGCTTTGTAGATTTGGCCACTTGAACTTTGTTTTTAAATTTCAGAAACTAACAAATTAATCCAGTTTGTGTCAAAAGTATAATCAATTTATTATTTTTATTCCTTCCCTTCCTCTTATCACTCTTCTTAGTTTCTTTTTCCTTTCTATATATATATATATATATATATATATTTTTTTTTTCTTTTCTTTTCTTTTTTTCATATCTCAAGCACAAATAGTGACAACTAACAACAATATAGTTACCAAACCAACCTTACTTAATTGTTAATACATTATGTCGTGTTATGCTTCCACATGTCGTATGAAGTTATTTTATCCCCTATATGCATCAATGTTGGGACTCAGCCATACGTATGTGTTGAGAGTATCAATCCCACATCATGAAATGAGAGACCTTGTTTGTGCTTATAAGTAATTGAGCTACTCCATATGTTGCCAATTGCTTTTATGGTGGAATCTCAACTTCTTCATGGTATCAGAGTAGGTTGTTCTATGTGTAAAGCTCAATGGTCATACGTGCTTCATGTCACTCGATTTGTTTTATCCATATACTAGGCTTGAACATTCATCACCTGGAGGGGGCTTTTTGAGATGATCAATCCCACATTGGCACAATGAGAGACCTTGCTTGTGCTTTTAAGTAGTTGAGCTACTCTCCATATTGCCAATTGATTTTATGATGAAACCTTAACTTGTCACTAATGTTGGACATTAGACTCTAATCCAATGGTAATAAATCAATATAATTAATAAGGATTGATGTGGAATGTAAGTGTGATTAAGGTTTAGTTATAAGCTATAACTTGGACTCCAAGTAAAGGTATATAACCTGGTTATGATTGGAGAATAAGGGCTCTTGATACTATCCTATTTGGATTGAGATTTGGTAGATTATATCCTTGTACAATAAGGAATCCTAGCGTATGATTATGGGAATGTATGCTAGGGTTGTAGTAGTATAAATACCAAGGGAAGGTCCCTGCATACACGACCGATACACATACTTGGAAAACTCCCCATAGGTTTGAGTAATTCAGTGGTGGTGAATGTGTAGAAGACTAACCTTTAAAGTCTAGGGTGTTCGAGGAAAGCTTGTTGTAATTGCAGTCCTTAGCCGTGCTAGGAAGATGACTTCTTAAGGTTAGTTTAATGGTGTTTTAATGGTACATAAATATATCAAGTTTAATAGTTTGTATCAGAGCCAACGTTTATGTAATTAAAATCCATAAAGAACTGACATACTTGAAATCATGCATGCACATGAATGAACTGATGTTTCTTTAAATTTCGATTCTGGTTTCTTTTTCGCTGCTATGATTAATACTTGCATGTATGAAGTCTTGAGATACTTTCCTTGCATATCTATAATAATATCGACTAAATATAAGACTAAGTAATATGCATAAAGAACTGCAAACAAGAGCCATGAATGTTGTGCTTACATCCACAAAAACCCTAAACTGTCTACCATACATGATTGATGTAAAGAACCGTCTTTGGCCTGTTAAAACTAAGAGATTGTTTGCTGTAGAAGTCTTGATTGTTAAGCATGTTTAATAATCGAAGGTTTTAAGGTTCATAACATGCTGAAAGTTATATCATGATCAATGTTTTTAAGATGTAATTGAATGATTGAAACACAACAAATTCGTTCCAATCATTCAAGAACTGCTAAAAATTCAAGGTTTAAATTGATCAGTTTGTATCAGTAGCCATAATAATGAGGTTATATCCCCAAATCAAGGTGTGACTAATCGACATTGGTTAGGTTACTGATAGCTTAGTGAGAACATATAAGATGCATGAGCTGTGAAAGTTAATTGCCAAACAAAGGTGGATGGCTTTCATGTTGTACCATTACTTATGCAACTTATATGTTTTGCACTGATACTGATTAAACTTGAAAAACCAAACAAAGGTTGAGTTGTTTCAGTTATACAGAATTTAGAGTCTTGAATGCTTATTTTCATTTGAAAATATTTCAGTAATTAGCTCCCTGAATTTAATTCAAACACTCAATGGAACCAACTATAAGAAGTGGAGGCAAGATATTGAAATAACTCTGGGGCTCATGGATTTCGATCTAGCTTTAAGAGATAATGAACCAGCCAAGCCTACTGAAGATACAACTACAGAAAAGAAGAATGAGTATGAGAAGTGGAATAAGGTTAATAGAATGGCGTTGTTGGTAATCAAAAGATCAACGTCTGATCTAGTTCGAGGAGCAATCATTGAATTAGATAATGCTAAGGCATACCTTGACTCCATTGAAACAAAGTTCAAGGAATCTGAGAAGGCAGAAACTGGAACACTCATGAACACTCTTATAACCACTAAATACCTTGGTGGTGGTGTGAGAGAGCACATTCTCTCAATGGTTGATGCAGCTGCAAAGCTCAATGCACTTAACATCAAAATAGATGACGTGCATCTTGCCCTCAATTCCTTATCTCTCGAGTACTCTTAGTTGAAGAGTACTTATATAGCTCAGAAAGAAAAATGGGACCTGAACGAGTGTATTGCTATCCGTGTGCATGAAGAGCAAAATATTCGATAAGATAAGGGAAAGAAACAAGTCAATGTAGTGGAGAGTGTCAATCCTCCCAATGGGAAAAATAACCTTCCATAGAAAAACAACAAAAGGTCTGCAGGAAGGGTTAATAAGGGCAATAACCATTTGAGAATTCATAAGGGTGTTGGAATGAAATGTTTCTTTTTGCAAGAAGATAGGACATCAGAAAAAGGAGTGCTAGGTATAAACACTGGAAGGAAAACAAAGAGAGTAAGAAAAACAAAGGTATGGTGTATAAAATTTTAGTTTGTTTTGAATCGAACTTGGTTGAGATATCTTATGATACTTGGTGGCTTGATACTAGTGCTACAATTCATGTGACAAACTCATTACAGGGGTACATTAGTAAGAAGGTGCCAAACAAGGATGAGGTGTCAAAGTTTGTGGGCAATGAAGCTACAGTTGTTGTGGAGTAGTTAAGCTTGAATTATTTTCTGGTTTTTTGCTAGATTTAGTTGATGTTGCTTATATACCTTCCATGAGAAGGAACTTAGTCTTAGTTAGTAGGCTTGTTAAATCAAAGTTTAAGTTTGATATTAATGAGGATGGTTTTTCAATATTTCGAATTTCCAACTTAATTGGTGATGGAGTATTGGTTGGTGACATGTTCAAGCTTAACTGTAATATACCAACAAGTGTGGTTAACACAATAGGGCACAAATGAGCACTGACAAACAACACTTTATCCAAGTTATGGCACAAAAGATTAGGGCATATTTCAAAAGAAAGAATGCAAAGATTAACTAGGAACAAATTCTTCCATCACTAAACTATGGTGATTTCGAAATTTGTACTAACTGCATTAAGGGAAAATCGATAAATAAGAAGAAGAAGGTTCAACTAGAAGTACAAAGTTGCTAGAACTGATCCACACAGACATCTGTGGACATTTTCCAATACAAACACATGATGGCTACAAGTATTTCATTACATTCACAAATGAATTTTCTAGGTTTGGGAATTTATACTTGTTGGCTGAGAAGTTTAGTGCCTTTGCTACTATCAAAACTTATAAAGCAGAAGCGGAGAATCAATTAGACTGTAAAATCAAGGTAGTAAGGTCTGATAGGGGTGAAGAGTATTATGGAAAGTTCAGTGAATCTGGAAGACAACCTGGTAATTTTGCATTGTTTCTGCAAGAACATGGAATTGTTGCTCAATACACTAACCCATGCACCCCTGAGCAAAATGGAGTTAGTGAAAGAAGAAATAGAACCTTGATCGAGATGGTGAGAAGTATGATGAGTAATTCAAAACTACCTACCTTTATTTGGGGAGAAGCAATCAAAACTGCAAACTACTTATTAAATAGGGTCCCTAGCAAATTTGTCCCCAAGACACCATTCGAGTTGTGGACTAACAGAAAACCAGTGCTAAATCATTTGAGAATTTGGGGGTGCACTATAGAAGCAAGAGCATACAATCTAATGGAGAAGAAGCTGTACCCTAGAACAATCACATGCTTCTTTGTAGGGTATCCAGAAAGAACCAAGGGTTACAGGTTCTATCGTCCCAATCATACTTCAAGATTCATTGAAACTGGGAGAGCCACATTCATAGAAGAAGCTAATGATGATGAATGGGAGGAGAATCTTGACTGGAATGAAGATACCATATCAATACAAGAAGAAAACCTAGGTGATGCTGTGACAGATGAAGTTGTTGTATCAATTCCAGTGCAAAGTGACCGAGTTGTAGAACCAACACAAGTTGTTCAACAAGAAGAGATGATTGCAGTAGAACTTGTGCAGTTGATCAATGCACCAACCATTCAAGAAGAAAACATTGAGCTTATGCACATGGAAACCAGAAGATCCACTCATACTAGAAAGCCTACAATCTCATATGATTTCCTTGTGTCTTTGCAAGAGGCTGAGTTCAGTAGCCAAGAAGAAGATTCATTAAAATTCAGGAAGGCAATTGAGAGTTGCAATAATGAACATTGGCAAAAAGCTATGCAATCAGAATTAGACTCCATGAATAAAAACAAAGTGTGGGAGTTGGTTGAGTTGTCACAAGGATGCAAACCAATAGGTTGTAAATGGGTTTATAAGACTAAAAGAGACTCCAAGGGTGATATTGAGAGATACAAAGCTAGACTTGTAGCTAAAGGATATACTCAGCAAGAAGAAGTTGATTACAATGAAACCTTCTCCCCAGTCCCTACAAAAGACTCTTTTAGAGTAATCATGGCACTAGTGGCTTACTTCGATCTAATCCTGCATCAAATGGATGTTAAGACTACATTCTTGAATGGAAACCTTGAGGAAGAGATCTACATGAAGTAACCAGAGGGTTTCATTCAAGAAAGGAGAGAGAATTTGGTCTGTAAACTTAACCAATCGATTTATTGATTGAAATTGGCCTTGAGACAATGATATTTGAAGTTTGATGAGGTTGTTTCATCACATGGTTTCGAAGAGAGCCCTAGTGATGAGTGTGTGTACATGAAAAGGAATGGAAACTATTTTATTTTCTCATCCTTTACGTGGTTGACATATTGTTAGCATGCAATAATGCATCACTGCTAAGTGACACCAAGAGATTTCTGTCTAAATGTTTTGAGATGAAGGATGTAGGAGAGGTAACCTTTTTTCTTGGTATTCAGATCACAAGGGATCGAACTAGAGGACTACTTGGTTTATCACATAAAGCATACATTGAAAAGGTCCTCAAAAGGTTCAACATAGAAGACTCGAATGGCTGTGATGTTCCTATGACAAAGGGAGAAAAGCTCAGTAAGGATCAGTGCCTTAAAACTGATTTTAAGAAGAAAGAAATGGCTAGTAGGTCTTATGCTTCTCTCGTTGGGAGTTTCATGTATGCACATGTATGTACTAGACCTGATATTACATATGCTATTAGCATATTGGGAATGTTTCAGTCTAATCATGGCAATGCACACTGGATAGCTGCCACGAAAGTTTTGAGATACTTGCAGAGAACAAAAGAATATCAACTAGTATACAAGAGGGATTCAAAACTCGAACTAGTAGGCTATAGTGACTCAGACTTTGTAGGCTGCATTGATTCACTAAAGTCAACTTCAGGTTATATATTCACATTGGCAAATGGGGCAGTGTCATGGAAGAGTGTGAAACATGATACTGTGGCCATTTCCACCATGCAAGCTGAGTTTGTAGCTTGTTATGAAGCTATATCACAAGCTATATGGCTGAGAAATTTCATCAGCAGTCTCGAGATCATGAATTCAATTGCAAAACCTATTCAAATTTGGTGTGATAATAAAGCTATTGTTTTTTATTCCAAGAATAATAAAAGGTATTCTGGAACTAAGCACTTGAACACAAAATATCCATTGACAAGGAAGAAAGTGAATTCTGGAGCGATCAAGGTTGATTACATTGACACTCATGCAATGCTTGCTGATCCACTCACTAAGGTATTACCAAATGCAGTTTTTTCATAAGCATGCAGTCAGTATGGGAGTGACTGTAACCCTAGATTTGTTGAACTAGTGGGAATAGTGAGTGTATAGCATAGTTATGCATATTGGTTATTATCGTGATAGTAAGTTGTAATTTTGGTTTTGTGTTTAGCCAGTCGCTGCACTTGGTTGAATTGAATGTTTAATAAAGGGATGCTACTTCAATGATTCATACATTGTTTCAATATAGTTCTAATTCTTATTTTCTGTTGGAAATAAAGGTTGTTGAAAGTTCATAAGCAATTGATATGTATTACAGTGAGACAATGTAGCAGAAAAAGGTTATTAGCTGCAATTAGTAGTGCTGAGAGATTGATTGGCATATGTACTGAATTTTTTCACAAAAAATATATGTGAGCTATTCTTATAGCTTGAAAGCTTCATAGGAAGCATGAAGCAGTCATAAATAAGATTGATTAAGTGGACCTGGAAGTGATGGAGTTGATGTTTTGACTCATGGTTATGTGGCTCACTTCTGTACCAAGTTTGTGATTGATTATTTCATGTAAGTAAGGATCTTATTCAATGATTATAAGAGCTCATGAACACTCATGTAAGTTCGTAGTCTTCAATATTTTTGAAAGAGTAATCTTTACTTGACAAAAGTATGCAAGAAGCTTATTAGCTTAACTGAATCTATTAGCCAATAAAGAATCATGCTTACATATTCATTAAAGTTCTTTCTTGAATTAACTAATTGACCTAGTGGGAGAATGTTGGATGTTAGACTCGAATCCAACGGCTAATAGGTCAATATAGTTAATAAGGATTGATGTGGAATGTAAGTGTTATTAGGGTTTAGTTATATGCTATAACTTGGACTCCTAGTAAAGGTATATAACCTGGTTATGATTGGAGAACAAGGACTCTTGATACTATCCTATTTGGATTGAGATTTGGTAGATTATATCCTTGTACAAAAAGGAATCCTAGCGTATGATTATGGGAATGTATGCTAGGGTTGTAGTAGTAAAAATACCTAGGGAAGGTCCCTGCATACATCACCGATACACATGATTGGAGAACTCCCCATAGATTTGAGTAATTCAGTGGTGGTGAGTATGCAGAAGACTAACCTTTAAAGTCTAGGGTGATTGAGGAAAGCTTGCTGCAATTGCAGTCCTTGCCGTGCTGGGAAGATCACTTCTCAAGATTAGTTCAATGGTGTTTTAATGGTACATTAACATATCAGGTTTAACAACTACGTGTATGACTGTCAAAAAGAAAGATTTAAAACGTTCTTAGTATATATAATGCTTTTGGCATTAATTTATCACTCCTTTTGAACCAGGAGAGCAAATTGGTTCAAATTATGGTTTACAATGATTGTTTAGGTGTTTAAAAGTGGCTTACGATATATATGTCTTTTCGGGGTAGGTATTCTTGTATTGTTGTTGCAAACGTGCAACTTCCGAATAACTTGATTGTCTTCATGTGTAACCATTATATATTTTGGCGTGAGAAAAATAGATGGAATCTTTGGGTTCTGTTTTCATTGTTTTCTGATGATTTCCTATTTTCCTATCAGATTCCTCATCTAAAATTCAATTTTTACGATTAAGAAGTGAATCAGACCACAATGCCACTTTGTCAAATGACATATTCAACTTGCAAATATAAGTTCTATTCAAGTTTATACCAATTTCATATAAACATTTCCAAGTAAATTCATACATAATTAATTTAAAAATAAACAAAATATTTAGCATATTAGGCTTAAACACTTACTCTGCAAAAAAAAAAAAAAAAAAACTTTGAATGTTGATTTCAAGTAATCCAATAACTAATGCTTAACTCAGAAAAAGACTCAGACTTTTGCAATTAGATTCTAACATAATTTAAACCCTACAAATTTCATTAATTAGGTTAATCCACAAGTTAGATTTTCACGTTGTATCATCCCACATTGCCCAGGGGAGTGGATCTTGTAAGCCTTAATATGTATATTTCCATCTCTACCTAGCACGA